TGTTTTTAAATCAAATGCTAACCTAAAAACACTAATAATGTCTAAAAATAAGTCTAAATTACCACGCAACAGCACCCGAGGACCCTATTTAATTAAGTGCAAATGCTCCAAAGTATATGTTGGTAAAACAAAACTTCAAATACGAACAAGGGTTCAACAACACCAAAAATTTTTGACTGAAGGCAAGTTAAACCAGTCTGCATTAGCTTTGCATAAAGTAAATTGTAATGAGGACATTGAATGGAATAAAGTAATAACACTTAAAGTTGAGGATAAAAAATTTGAAAGAAAAGTCCATGAGGCATTGGAGATACAAAAACATCAATGTTCTCCAACGTATGGTGGTATGAATTTGGACAATGGACAATATTAAAAAACAAATTTTTGGACTTCATTTTTTTCATACTTAGGTAAAAGAAGCCATTATAAAGGTGACGTCAAAATTTAAAAATTTTTTGTTGTTATTTAACGGTCACAATTTTTGTAATTATGTTATATTATATGCTGTTGATGCCGGTGCCTATAATCCGGCGAAAATTTCAAATAAATTATTTAGTATTGAGAGAACTCGTAGGATCTGATGTTTTAAATTAGCTTATATATATATTTACTCTTGTACAAGATGTCAACATTTAAATTATATATATATATATATATATATATATATATATATTATATATATATATATATATATATATATATATATATATATATATATATATATATATATATATATATATATATATATATATATATATATATATATATATATATATATATATATATATATATATATATATATATATACTATATACGCATATATTTAAATAAAAATTAAAATGCAACTTTACGTTTCATGCCATTTTGCAATCATTCAGGCATACTAATTAAAAAACACAAAAAAAAGATAAAGAGGATATAAATACGAATTTTGAGTTGCAGCAATATTTAATACCAGTATTTATGTCAAAGGAGATTTCAAAATGCATTAGTAAAGACTTCTTTCTATGACTACATGTGGAAATCATTCTTTTTATTTTTAAATATATTTGCTAATTTATTTACTTAAAGTTACAATAAATAAATAAAATAAACAAACAAGCTATGATACACATTACAGTGTATAGAGTCTAACAACAGTAGATGTCAGATTGTAACAGCTTTTCATATAGTTGTCATGGGGTTTGAATGTATTTAAGTTTTTTAATTTCACAACATCTTGTGGTAAACGGTTCCATTTATCCACTATTTTATTTATAAAAAAAATTATGTTGACCGTTTGTTTTTTTGCTTTGTTGTCTACATATTCTGTTATTGTGCCTTCTTGTAATTGAATTTTTTATAAATATAGGAGGATTGTAATAATTAATTACATCTAAGTTATTCATAAATCTGTATAGTAAGTTATTCATAAATCTATATCGGCTCTCGAGTTTCTATTTTTTAATGTAGAATAATTAATTTTATTCAGTCTATTTTCTTATGATAAACCTTTTAAACTGTGGATACAAGTTGTTCATTGTTGGACTTGTTCTATCATATTGACATGTTTTTTGTAAATGTGGATTCCATAATGGTGATCCATATCTAAGATGAGGTCTGACTAATGAAGTAAATAGTAATCTTATATTTCTTTCATCTAAATATTTAAAAGAGTGTTTTATTAGGCTTAATTTTTGGTAAGCCTTATTGACTGTATAATGTTAATGTGGTAATTCCAGTTAAGTTCATTTGATAAATATATGACAAGATCTTTTTCTAAAGTTGTTTTTGTTAGTTTAGTGGCATACGTTTTATTTTTGGAAATTAAGCATCAGGTACTTGTTTTAGGATTTTTTTTTTCCAATATGTTTTTCAACCTTGTACTTGTTATCATTAAATTCTATCAACCAGTTTTTTGTCGATTGGACTATTTTATTCATATATTTTATATTTTAGTCTTCTTGTAAATCTTCTGTACTACTGTTATGATCTAGTATAGAAATTAATTTTGTATCATCTGCATACAGTTTACATTCGTTTTTTATATTTAACATTATATCACTAGTGTATAAAATAAATAATAATGGTCCAAGTACTGATTCCTGAGGAACACCACTTATAACATTTGTCCATTAAGAAATATTTTCTTCAAGTATAACTCGTTGTAACCAGTTTTTTAGAAATGCTCTGCACCAGTTCAAATTTTGGGTATGGACAACTTAGAAAGGTTTTTCTTTCAAATAATGGAATATTATTGCTATTTTCAATTATGAATACTGAACTGAAAAAAGTGTTTAATGTATTGCATATCGTTTTACCATTAGTTATAACATCACCATTTGTATCTCTTATGGCTCTAATAGTGTTTATTATTTTGGTTTTACTGTTATGAGTATTGTACGAGTTTGTTGTGAGTATTGTAAGAGTGAGTTGTTTAGAGAAATTTAGTATTTAACTTTGATTGTTTTACTAAATTACATTTATACTCCATAATTGCTTTTTTAATATCTTTTTTAAATATCTTATTAAGATTGTTGTAATTTTTAACATCATCTATATTTTTAAAACCTGCAGCTTTAATTTTGTACCATATGTTCCTTTTAGCTTTTAAGTTTAATTTTAGGTCTTTAGTCAACCGTAATGATTTTATCTTTCTAATGTTTTGGTTGTTTTGTTGAATTTGAGAGATAAACATTTTGCAACCTTTTTCATAAATTGTTAACCATCTTAAATAGCTTTCATCAACACTTAAGGTTTCAAACTCTTTTTCCCAATTATAATTTTAAAAGTATTTATTTACCTCTTTATATTTACCTGTGTTGATATTTTGTTTGTCTTTATAATTGGTAACTTTATCCATTACACTATAATTAAAATTCAATACATGATGGCCATGTTCTAAATTACCAAGGGGTGGTGTATTTCTAACATATAAATTCTATTACAAGATTCAGTTAATACTAAGTCCAGAACATTTGTTGTTTCACTGACATTTTTTTGAAAATTTGGTAAAATTGCATTTTGGAATAAATAATTTTTGTTTAAATAATCTATAAAGAAGATTTATTATTTTGTACTATTGTACCTATATTATCCTCATTCCATTTTATCATTTTAGGCATCTGTCCTCCATGTCTCACATACCATCATAACTTGTGGTTTTTTGTTTTTAATTTCTTTAATGAAGTCTTCATATTTGTTGTTTAACAATGTTTGATTGGTGTATCAACATGACAGATGTGGTTTTTCATCACTGTTTTTTATTTTTTCTTTGACATTTATTATTTATTTATTTTTTTCTTAAACATTTTTTATTTTTTTCTTCAACATTTTTTGTTTTTCTTTTAGTTTTTTATTCAACATTCTTTATTTTTTTAGTTTTTTTGTCAACATTTTTTTTTTTTCAGTTTTTTGGGTTGTATATTTTATCAACACTGTACGCTCTGATACCATAATGGAAGTGCTTATTCAAAGTATCTACTTTGAATAAGCATTTTCATTATGGTATCAGAATCATGATTTTGTGCATTTCTTTAAATAATAAGTTCCTTTTTAACTTTCTTTCAGCTTCATTTTGATCTGGCGCAATAAAAATATTTTTAAAAGTATTGCTGTTTCTCAATCAGGTTTTTGCCAAGGTTGTTAGTCCTTGGCCTTGACCTTGACCTTGGCCTTGGTCTTGCCTTAAGGCCAAAAAACTGAGGCCTTGGCCTTGAAACTATTGGCCTTGGCCTTGGTCTAAGCCTTGAAAATTTTGACCTTGGCCTTGATTGTTTTGGCCTTGGTCTTAAAAAAAATACATATTTTCTAATTGATTTCATTGAATTCTGCCCATAACCTCGGTTTATTTTTACAAAATGTAGTTTATTGTTATCGCACTTTCTACTTACAGTTGTGTTAACAATTGGTCTTAACGTTAGGCAAAAGTTAAAGTCTTTGGTCATGAAAATGTTTGCGTAGGCCTTGGCCTTGAAACTCTTAATCTTGGCCTTGACCTTAAACTCATGGTTTTGGGTCTTGTAACTTTTGGCCTTGGTCTTAGCCTTGACCTTGTAACGCGTGGCCTTAGCCATGCGTTACAAGGTCAGAACGAAGAAATGTTAGAGTGAAAGACAGAAGTAGTTGAGTTAGAAAGATAGCATAGAGAGGGCAGACAGGATTGCACATGATGTTAGGAGGTGCAATACATACTATTAATTAGGTCACCTAATTAATGTACGCCAAAGAAGGACCAAAAATAGAAATATTATTAGAAAGACATCATTTTAACTTTATCTTATTGATTTTGGAAACGCTAGAACAAAGTTTGTAAACAATACTTAACACTTAGCTTCATAATTATAATTGTGGGTTTACATTAAATTTAATGACTAAAAACAACAAAACTTTTTGCAGATTCATTTTCCGCTGATTAGTATTACCCGTCAATTAGCTTCTTATCATGATTTTTACATTGTTCAGTATAATTCTCTTTAGATACAGTAACAACAAAGATAACTACATTTTTATCTCTTTTTTCTTTATCTTTATTAATAGCAACAATGGCATTAACTACTTCTAATTCTTTTCTTGATTTCTTTTTATCATTTTTAATAATAGCTGCTCAGTTTTGAGCAGAATTTTTAAACACTCTTTTGCTGGGAGACTTATATGATACTTTATGGTCAATAAAGGCGGTTTATTTTTTTGTAATAATTTTAGGTAATTGGAACTAGCCTGGTTATAATTTAACTTGCTTTCACTTTGTGGTAAGGTCGGAAACTGTAGTTGTTAAGATTCAAAGTAATATCGAGGTAAAATAAAAAATCAATGCAATTTAAAAATTATTATGACATTTATGTCATAACGATTTTTTGTTACAGCACAAAAGTAATAATGGCACAAAAGTAATAACTCTTATGGACATGAAAAGGAATTTTTATTTTTGCATTGTGATACTTGTTAGACCAGTCTTCATATATAAAATAAACAAAATATTATATATTTTTCTAACTAAATTTTTATTAATATATTATTAGACATTATTCATTTGACATATGGATTTGATTTATCCTTGATTTATACTTCTTCTGGAAAAACTTGTAGTCTTTCTGGTGGCTTTATTTTAAAACAAGTTGTTTTAACATCTGGTCATTTAACAAAAGTGAAATTAAAAGCCTCTGCTGCAGGATATTTAAAATTTGCTGTAAGTTTTTATTAATTTTTTTGTTTTACGTTTTATTTCAAATATTTGAATATCATAAAAAATTTAGTAACATTTTATCTCACTCTATTTAGAGTGAAGTCTCTAGGAATTAATGTTCTAATGGAAATAAGTATTTTTTGACTAGACACAAATCATAAATCTATAATTATAAATGATAAATTGCCTGTCTGCTGGCCATCCTATATAATTGTGACATACCTAAGACATTGTAAAGGTGTCTCACGGACATCTCTGCCTGCTAGAATACATACATACATACATATATGTGTATGTATGTATGGATGCCATCATTGTTTCAAACAATGTCATCATTGTTTCAAACAATGTCATCATTGTTTCAAACAATGTTATCATTGTTTCAAACAATGTCATCATTGTTTCAAACAATGTCATCATTGTTTCAAACAATGTCATCATTGTTTCAAACAATGTCATCATTGTTTCAAACAATGTCATCATTGTTTCAAACAATGTCATCATTGCTTCAAACAATGTCATAATAAAATTTCTTAAGTTTCTAAAGAAAGTAGTTTACATGGCAATTTATTTCCCTTTAATGACATATTTGCAAATAATACTTGTATTTAATTTTTTTAAAAAAACATAAATTTTTATCTATAAATAACTAAAGTGTAATACTTTTTGAGTATAAGTTACATTTATTGTCTTATTATAAAATAGATGAGGCCATTGAATGCAATTGAATTTTATGGCTAAATACACCCCCATCAAGTTTTATGTTAATTTTTTCAAAATTTATCATCTCTCTCTCTTCCAAAAAAGTAAATAATTTAAATAAATATATTTATTTTCTGATTTAAATAAATATGTTTATATTCTGATTATCAGTTGAGATATCCTGGAGTTCAGAAATCAAAGCACACATTTTACCTGGAATTTAGAATCCTAAAATTTATAGAATGTTTAGTCAACCTGCAATTATAGCTCCATAGGTATAATAAAAAATTAGGAGAAAAAAAATCTGAAAATAAAGCCTTGAAACCATGCCAACCACAAATATTTAAAAGCATTTGATGCTACACTAAAAAAAAAGAAAAAAAAGTGATATATAATGCGGTAGTGGTGTAGTGGTAAGAGTGCTCGCTTTGTAAGCAAGAGGTTTGGAGTTCGACTCCCACCATGTCCCTGGAAGTACCGCGCTCAACTTAATTTCTCCGCGCAGCGGCCTTGCTTGTCAAGGTTCGTGTTTCGGAGTTAAAGAGTTGAGAGAGGGTTGTACCACGATTTACAAAAAAAAAAAAAAAAAAAAAAAAAAAAAGTAGCCTCCTCGACTGTAGTGGCCCCCTCGGGCCTTGGGGAGGTGAATAATTAAAAAAAAATAAAAAAAAAAAATATAAATTTGTTAAAAAACAAAAAAAAAAACAAAAAAACAGTATCTTCAAAACAATAGCAAGAAAAGATTTACATTGGAAATATTTTTTAATCTAAAAATTTGTTGCACTATAATTTCTTAACAAAAAATTAAATTAATTTAAAAAAAAGTACTCTCTCTGACTACAGTGGCCCCCTGGGCTTTTTTGGAGGTGAATATATAAATAGACAACAAATTTATTTATATTTAAAATTAAAAGCAACTACAACCTTTTTTTTTGAAATCATAAAATTTTAAATATTTATAAAGTTTTTTTATAGTATGAAGTATTATTATATTGCCTATTGAATTATTTTTTATTAAATTTAAATAAATTTAAATATAGATTTTGCGACCAATATGCAGTAATTCTACAATTTTTTGTTCCTTTACCTTGGAATGTTTAGATGATTGTTTTTTAATAAATTTATTAGAAGATGAAGTTTTTGTGCCAAATCCGTCTGTAATTACAGCATTGGTTGTAACAAGTAAGTTGAAAAATTTTGTTTAAAATATTTTTTATATAAAAAAGATTAACTAATAAGTAAAAATTAACTTTATTTAAAAATTATAATAAAAATTTTATCTAAAGTTTATTTAATCTAGATTTAATTTTTTAATAAAAATTAACTTTATAGAGTAAAAAGGCGTAAAACTGAACACTTATTTTTATAAATAATTTTATTTTATAGTAAAATTATTTTTAAAATATTTTTTTTGTTTGTTTTTGTTGAGATAAATGGGCTCTCTCTGAATGTGGAAAAAAATTAATTGAAAATGGTTAAAAGTTTTTTAGTAAAATGAATTTCTTTGAAAAAAGAAATTTTCAGTTTTACCTGACAATTTGGTTAAAACTGGATGTGTTGAAGTGTTAGTTTAGTTAATTATGATAAAAATAATTAATTTACTCATAGAAAACAATTAATTTACAAAAAGATAGGAATAATTTAAAAAATGATAAAAATAATTTACAAGAAAAAGAGTTTTTACACTTTGCAACATTTTTTTGTAAAATAGAATTCTTTACAAGTTTTATATTTTATTGGTAAATATGTTTGACAAACCCAGCTTTTGCAATTTGTACTTTTACATATAAACCATTTACAATATAGTTGCATGACAATATACTTCCACATATAACGGTTGAAGTATATGGGAGGAGTGTTATGACTAAAATACACATGTAACTATTACTAACTTACATGTGTAACTAGAATTTTTTTAATTGTTGGTATAAATAATTTATTAAGCTAATGCATAAATTGTTTATCTTCCATCCATCCTGATAGTGAAATTGTATATTTAGCATTTGATGGACCATCTAAACGCCAACTGCTGTATAGACTCTGTTTTGATTTAAATATTATAAATAGTGGAATTGCGGTTTGAGCTGCATTGATGCAATTACCAACTGTATAATTTATTTTTTTATTATTACCAACTAGTTTTGCAAATTATTGTTTGCCTACCTTGGTCACTAGAAAACCAGATTTTGTCAAAATTCCATAAATTGCACAAACTTTTCATGATTATTTGCTTCAAGAAATTGTTTTTCACATATTTGGAAATATTTTGTTACAATTTCTTTAATGCAAAATACTGCTCTCAGTGTTGATGTTGCTTTAAGATCTAATGCTTAATTTGTGTCTACATCTGTTAATAAAATGATAATACCAGTCTTTTACAGGTCGGCCTTTTTTAAATAAACTGGTTTGATTTGTAACTTTTAAATAAATGGCAGCAATATCTATGGTTTGGCTTTGCATTCTACCAAACCCCAATAAGATAATTTTGCCAACATTTCTTATTAATTCAACTACTTAGAGTTGTTGTTGTACTAGACCCTTATGAATTCATGCAATTATTAACACAATTTGACAAGGTACCTTTTGGAATATTGTATATTTGAGAAGCTTTGCATAAACTTATTTCACCACTATTTATTCTTCTAACTGCCATACTTATTTCATCCTCAGAGTATTTTTTTGAATTTTTTATTTTATGTTTTTGCATTTTGAATTAAATTTGATTTTGTTAATTGATTTAAATTAACTTAAATTTGGACAAGAAATTGTTATAAGTAAAAAATAGTAAAGAATAAGAAATAATAATGATTGAAAAAGATAATTATTGATAGAGTTAAAAAGTTGATTAATTAATTAGATGCAAAGAATAGCTAAGTATGGAAATTATTAGTGTTCAGTTTTACCCAAAAATATGACTTTTCCGTAATTTCGTTATAATTTTTTTTAAGAATTAACAAATTCATTTCTGAAAAAGGATTCTTAATCAGTTTAACTTTTACTACAAAGATGATGGTAATAATGATGATGATAATGATAAATATGATGATGATGGCAATGATGACAATGATAATAATGATGATGACGATGATGATGATGATGATGATGATGATGATGATGATGATGATAATAATAATGATGTTGACAACAATGATGATGATGATAATGATAATGATAATGATGATGATGATGATGATGATGATGATGATGATGATGATGATGATGATGATGATGATAATGATGATGATGATGATGATGTAGATGATAATGATGATGATAATGATGATGATTGATCATTGTTATCATAATTTTGATGACAATGAAAATGAATTTTTTTTATTTTAGAATTTATTTTTCTGGTAAATGTTACTGGAGTAATTGAAATACCAATCAAAAATCACAATAATGAAATTCGAGAAAATGACATGGTGTGGATTGGTGGAAATATTAGTTTATTTTGCTTTGGAAAAAATTATGAGCAAGTACATGGAGTGGAGATTGGAAAAACAATGACATTTTCCACTAATAGCATAATTAATGATGATTTTTTTATATCACTTTTTATATCGAGTTCACATGTGAGTTTGATTTCAATACCATCAAGTACAACTGGGAAGTTTTCTTTTATGATTGCTGCTTCTAATCATGTGCCATCCTTCCAAAAACTAAATTATTCTTTTGATTTTCAGGTTTATTTACTTTTTATATTACAATATAAATATTAATAAATATCACAATAATTTCTGCAACAGTTTCAAAACAACAAACTTTAATTAGCTGTTTTTAACAAATTCAAAGCAATCCCAACTAAAATATTTGAATTGACTGAATAAGTTTAAAATTTATAAGTGTGAACTGGCATAAGTGCAAATTGGCATAAATGTGAAACAGTTGCAAAGACTGGCATAAGTGCGAACTGGCATAAGTGCAAACAAGCATAAGTGCGAATTGGCATAAGTGTGTCAAATAATTATACAAACATTGGCATAAGTGCAAACTGTCATAAGTGCAAAGCAGTTACAAATACTGTCATAAGTGCGAATTGGCATAAATTTGAACTGGCATATCTGTGCTGAATAAATTTGCAAACATTGGCATAAGTGCAAACTGGCATAAGTGCAAAATGCCTATTTGCAATTATGTTAATAATTGCAATTTTATTCTGCGGACTTATGCCAATTTGTACTTATGCAAGTTTGCACTTATCCCAGTTATTGCAACTTCTTTGCACTTATGCCAGTTTTTGCTAATTCCTTTGGCGCACTTATGCCAATTTGTACTTATGCCAGTTTTTGTAATGCTTTGCAATTATGCCAGTACCTAATTATGAAACTTGCGCTTGTTCAATCTCCCAAAATAATTTTTAGGTCTAATAGACAAAAAAAAATATGTATACATATTGATAACTAAAAGCTTTATTTAAACATCTATATTTTAATTTAATGATTTTTATTGTTTGAATATTTCATTGAGAGTTATAAAATCTTATAATTTTTTGTTGCTTCCGCCAAATTATTCCCTAACCATCAGGTTTTGTACAACCAATAGAAAACAGATTACACTTTTGATACCACCATGCCTCATGAAGTTATAACTGATAATAATGTGTTGAAGACTTAAAAAAAAAAAAGGTTGTTAAATGGGCAGGTCCTAGGTTTTTAATGTTCAAGAATAGTACTTTTCTGAGTGCAAACTTTAAATTTAGTATTGGGTTGGTTTAAAAGTAAATGATTGATTTGGTGTCAGAAAAAAGTGCCTTCTTGTTGTTGAATCTTTTATTGCGTAAGCTGTTGCCTTTCAATTGGGACAAACAATAATATGTTGGGGCTATTTATACTAGTAGGGTCAATGAGAAAACATATATCAGAGCCAAGCTCAGATAATATTTTTAGTGTTGATACATGATCTTTAACTTTTTTAACAAAACAAAGTTTAAAAAAAATTTAAAGTATTTTTTGTAGTGAAAAAAACAATTAAATCACTAATTGCAACAGAAATATTAAAAAGCTCTTCTTTTTTTTTAAAATAATTTAGCAATAGTCAGACTTCTGAGAAAACAATTCTCAGTTAAGCAGCGTTGATACATGGTCTTTAACATCACCCATTTTTGATGATAAATTGAAGTTGCGGCAAAGAAATTTTAGTTGAACTGATAGGCCATTTCATCCCCTATATATAATATAATCATGGATGGCATCCATTATAATACGATCCCCACCATGTACCTGGTACCTGGATGACATCCATTAAATAAAGAGCTGCATTTATAAATTTTGAAAATATTGAATTTTTTTTTGAAAATTTGAAAATTTATAGTTTTGAAAATATTGTGAAAAATTACTAATTCTTACTTTAAAGTATGATTTTTTTAGTTTTGACTTTTTGTTATACTAATTTTACTTTTACAATTTTTAAAATATAGATCCCTGTGTCTGGTTTGCGGTTTGCAGATATGAAACCAGTTCCAAAATTTATAGCTGGATACATGCTTAATACATGGCTAATTTTTAAGGCTGAAATAGACAATGGATCAAATGTGATATACACATTTAATATTCCCAAGCTTAATTTTTCTAAGAATGTATCTGATGATAATCAAGTTTCTCATATGTTTGTTAATATAGGCAAGTGGAGTTTTTTAAATAAATTTTTTTATTATAAGTTATACAATTAATAAATCTTGTTAATAATATAGTAACTCTTAATGACACTCAAGATAAATAACAAGACATACAAATTTTTCAGCACTCGACATATGTTTAGTATTTGATGTTTATTTTATGACAGCACCATGCTAAATTTTTATATTGAGTATTTTTTGTAGTATATTAACTATAAAATAAGTGTTTACTTGTGTTTAATAGCTACCGAATGATATTGTTAATAATTTTTTTAGGTGTTTACACTGTTTATTTAATTGCCGCCAACAAGGTTAATTCACTTAATACTTCAATTGATATTTCTATATTATCAGAAATAAGTGGAATTTATTTGTATGTTGAAAAAAATCAGCTACAAGATAGGATTTTTAACACAACTATAAGAATGTTTAATGGAACTAATGTGCAGTTATTAGTTGATTTTGGTGATGGAACACCTGCTAAATATATTTCAAATATAGATGCAACTGGTGTGAATGGTGTTACTTTTACTATTGCCCATAAGTATTTTATTTTTCACTCTTAAATTAAATTGTCTTTTTTAAATTTTATTCTATTTTAAACATTGCAGCATGAATTTAATCCATATTTTGATTGGTCTAATAAAAAAAATTTAGATCATGACAGTAACTTCATTATATATAGCAGTTATGTGCTATTGTTAAATTTAGATATTCTTTGTGTAATATGTTTACTATCAATGCCAGTGCAACAAATGTGTTTGCAAGCACAAACGGAAGCTTAAACACTGCTGTATTTTCAAATTCTAAAGATGTAACTGTTTTTTGCACACTTTCTACTTTGAATGTCATAGCAACTCCTAATATTTCACTAAATGGGTATGTTCATTTATCTCTTAGCAAATATCTAATTTTGGGCATAAATCAAAATACAGGATCATTTTTAATATACACAATCGATTGGGGAGATGGAACTTATGAAATTAAAAATCAAACCATAAATCAAAATCCAGTTTCTTTTCAGCTACGACATAAATATAATGTAGAAAGCAACTTCACTGTTAATGTAACATCTAAGAACTTGCTGCAAAGTTTAAGCTATTCAATTTATATAATTGTAAGAAATTGTTCAGTACCTGAGATTAGTTTTTATTATGGGACTTTAGTCAGCCCAATGAATATTATTCGAAGTGTTGGTGCAAATATTACAGCTGTTGTTGATAATATTAATAAAATATGTCCACTTGAAACTTACAGTTTTAAATGGAATCTTGGAGGTACTGTTTCAAATCCTACAGTTACTTTTGGTTTTTTATCTCCACAAAAAGTTACTTACACAATTGCAAAAAACTCACTTGATATAGGCTTGCATAAATTATTATTGGAGTATAACTATGGAGATGTTTCAAATGTTTATGCTGCATATTTAAATGTTACATTTTCTCCACTTTATATGGAAATTGATAATGGATTTTTTGCTTCTATAAAATATAAAAGGAATAATAGATATGGTATTTCCTACCAAAACTTTACAATAAGTGCTAAGTCAAGTTTTGATCCAGATGATCCTATTGCAGGAATAATAAATATCACTTTTAATTGGAAATGTAAAGTTGCTTCAAATTTCTCAGTTGCTCAAGAAGTTATGGAAAGTTATAAAGCTTTGAACTTAAATTTTTCTAGTAACACATGCTTTAATCAAAATTGGATTAGCATTTCTTCCTTTACTTCAGAAGTTACTTTTAACACACAGCAGTTTTTAGAAGGTATAAGTTATCATTTTAAAGTGTGTGGAACGAAATATGCAGGAAAAGATATAAGTTCATTGCATGTAAATAAGACAGGTTGTTTCACTCAAGAACTTCACATAATTGCTAGTGGTCTTCCAACTGTTTCTATTAGGTATATTTTTCTATATTTTTATCGATATCTATAAATCTATAAATTTATGTAATGAACTTATGTAATGAACATTAAATTCTGTAATTAACATTATTAATCTTTTTATCGTTAACAAAACGATAAAAAGATTAATTTTTAGTGAAAATAATTTGAATATATTTGAAAGTTAAACTATTTGGAAATTAATTTTTATTAATAATTGGATATTTTTTTGTTTTTTGTTTTGAGAGTTAAAAAGATTTAAACCAAGGCACCAAACTATTCATTAGTAACAATTTTATGAGCTAGCCATAATGACCAAGGTATACCATACATAAGTTTTTTAAGACTATTTAGAAAAAAACAGTTTATAAATTTACATAAAAATCATTTATTTCCATTGTTTTACAAATTAGACAAATAAATGCTATAAATCAAAAATTTATGACATATTGTCTTAATGAAGTTTTCAAATGAAAATCAAAACTGTATAACTAAAAAATGGCTCAACTTGGCTTTAATGGCTACTGCAAGTTCCATGTCAAATGCACACGAATGAGTATTATTAGGATCATTGCTATATAATAAGATAATTTTTTAGGTTTTTAACTTTGATTTTAAATTTTTAACTGTGATTCAAAACTGAATTTTTTTAGGTGCATATCAAACTGTGATTCAAAACTGATTTTTTAGGTGCATATCAAACTGTGATTCAAAACTGAATTTTTTAGGTGCATATCAAACTGTGATTCAAAACTGAATTTTTTAGGTGCATATAAACTGTGATTCAAAACTGAATTTTTTATGTGCATATCAAACTGTGATTCAAAACTGAATTTTTTAGGTGCATATAAACTGTGATTCAAAACTGAATTTTTTAGGTGCATATCAAACTGTGATTCAAAACTGAATTTTAAAGAGCAAGTGATTTACTCATATGTTTGTGAAGATTGTGGCTCACAAAAGTTTGTTTTTGTTTAATTTTCATTCTTTATAAAATAATGAATTTATGGAACTTTATTATGTTCATTTTAAATATATTAGACTAATGGCAAAATGGAAGATAACAGATGATACTGGTTTTGTTCCTTCTGAAATTTTGTCTACAAATGCTTCTCTAGGCTTCTCAACTCCCAGTCTCATAATAAATAAAGACATTTTACTTGAATCTAAAAGCTACACTTTTACTTTGATAGTTGGTTTTAAAGATTCATTAAAACAAGTTAAATTTAAATTTACCAAATCCACATGTTCTCGTCCATCTTCAGGACTTTGTTACATTAAGTAAGTATTTGATTTAATTTTTTCAAATTTTTTATTCTTTTAGTTTTTAAAGGTCATCTCTAATGTGTAGTATATAAATTAAAAGCATCAAATTGACAAAGTCAAATTCAGTTCACAATTGAAATCAAAAACTCCAATAAAAATTTAAACTTCCTTCAGATTACACCACAGAAAAATCAATATAGGAAATTATTATTTAAAATTTTTAGAAAAGAGGCTATGAAAAATTTACAAATCAAATTTCTTCTGCCTGTTTCACTACATTTTATTTAGGGTATACTTAAAGGTTTTTAATCACATGCAAAATGAATATCGCAAAGCTTTCAATAGAGTTTTTTACATGCAAAATGAATATGCTTATTGCAAATAATATTTAATAGAGTTCAATTTATGGATGAATGGGTAAACTTTGGGTTGACTGAAAATTATAAAGTTTGCAAAGAAACTATTGATTGGGAAAATATCAAACCATAAAGTCAAAAAGCAATTTTTAAAAAAGTGCTATTAACGAATTTCTAAAAGTACTAATATTTTAGAAAAATTAATAAACCTGCCTGATGCAATAAAAAACTGAAAATCAGGCTTAGCAAACATTTCAGATTGAAAAATGGTTCCAGCAGTTGAGAGCTAAAATATTTCCGCCTAATATTGTTTGAAAAAAGAATTAATAAAAATAAAAATAAATAGGTTTCTTTTTTAACTTGCTGTTTTTAATTTATTATTATTATCATTATTATTACTGTTGTTATTATTATTATTATTATTATTTTACTATTATCATTTAACATGGTGCTTGATACAATTTGAACACTCCATTAATTTTGTATATTCCACTGTATATTTTTACTTTGTATTTTATTTGATTTTTAATATGATTTAGTCTTGTTAGACCAACTTCGTTTAGACTTTGTAAGAAACTTTTTACAAAGTTATTTTTTTAAAGATAAAACTTATTTCCAAAGAGTATGCAAAGTAGTAAATAGAAAAATAAATAAACTTAACTTTGTAAATAAAATTAAAGTTTTATTTAAATTAGATTAAACTTTTTAAAAATAATCTTAATTCTCTTTAAATTGTGAGTTAGGTTTCATCTAAAAGAGATAACAAAAATATTTCAATTAAAAACTGTTTTAACTATACTTTAAAGTTATAATAACTGAAACTTTTGGACAAAAAAAAGACTCATTGTCATCATAATCATCATTTTATTGTGCATGTTTTCATGTTAGCATTGTTTAAATGTTTCAAGCTGTTACATGTAATTTACTTATGTTTATCCCAAACCCTTTTGTTTCCATTCTTCTTAATGTAAAATCTTTTAGATTAAGAAATAATTCTTTTTCTGTCTCTGAAATTAAGCATAAATTATCTGCATAGAATAGACAAGAGACATAGTAAAGCAACAATGAACTCATTAGAGTGAACCTTAAAAAATAAAACAGAAAGTGCTAGGCTCTAATGCACATCAACTTTTATTTTAAAACTAACACTCTCTCCATTTTTTATTTTAACTACTGTTGTGACAGTATTCATACATAGCCATCATAACTGTTACCAACACCTGAAATACCATTAAGTTGTCTCCCTTGGCGCTCTGTCAAAAACTTCTAAAAAGTTTGCAACTGCTCTTCACAAACTTTTCCTTTTTTTCAAATAACTTCCTGGAACTTCCCTTATAATAAATATTGCATCTGTTGTTCCAGGTTTAAAACTAAACTGCATTTTGTTGATGTTTTTAAATTTTTGCCATAATCAATTTTACTTCACGATATGTGATTATCAATTAAATATTTTCTTCTCACACATTTTTCAATTTTATTTTTATTTTTTCTACAATTTTACCCACTTTTGCATTCCAGCATCTCAATTTGTTGTGTCCTTTTTTTCTTCTATATATTTAATTAGATACCTTTATGGTTCCTACTCTTAATTTATTCATTTTATCTGTTAATAAATTTACCATTCTAAATATTTAATTAATACTAATGAGTATTAAAAATTAATAATAGAAACAATTAAAGGTAATAATAATAATATAATAAATAATAATGATTATATAAAATAATATAATAAATAATAATAATGATTTTATAAAATATTTTGGATATATTGATTTTTAAACATAATTTGAACTTGTTTTTGATTGCATATTAAGTATTATGAATTTTTGAAATTTTTTTTATAACAGTCCAACGGATGGTTATGCTCTTGAAACAACTTTTAAACTTGTCTGTTACAACTGGAGAAACTATGATGGCTTCCTGAGCTACAGTTTTTTTTATGACGATAATTTACCACAGTCAATGAAGCTTGTATCAACCAGTGATTACCCTCTAATGAGCATTGCAAATACTGGCCAACCTAGTTTAATTAACTTTGTAATGGGTCCAGGTTTTGAAAAAAATGGTTACAAAATTAACATCATTATTAAGGTATATGGTAAATACCAAGCATACACAGAATACAATAAACTTAGCATAAAGGTAGTAGTACGTTTTTTAAAAATAACTTTTAAAATTGGACTAAAATGAAATATTTTTAAAACTTATATTCAGGTACGTCCAAATAATAATCCTATAAATTTAACAGAATTGTTTATGGGGATTAGTTTAACAGATACACCAAGTGTTATTAATCTTGTTCAAGCAGTTAGTTCTACTATTAACAAGGAGTTAGCAAGCTATTACAACAATACACCATCACTTATAAATGATTTTATTGATATGAGTAGTTATGCTAGAAATCAAGAAAGACAAATCCATCTTTCTCGCTTGCAAGGCGTATGGTTTTATTTATTTTTATTTGTTTGGTTTTTTTTTTAATTTCATTATTTCAAGTTATTAATGAACTTAGACTTGAATATGTTTATTGTCACATAATTTTAAAAGTTTTAAAAGTTAAAATAGTTTACACATAATTTATAATAATTTTAAAAAATAATTTCATGAGACATATTTGAACAGCTGTTGTGTAATGCTACATTAAACACAACAATTCAATGTCATATTATTAATTTACAATTTTGTCATTACAATGGTGTCATAATAAACCTGCAAGATACTTTTATAATGATAAACAGATTTGGTGGAACCATAATGTGGTCCATGAATTTTATTAAATGTGTCTCTTGCATAATAAATGTAGTTCTTTTTTAGACACATTTAAGCATAACAATATTAAAAACATTACAATATATATATATATATATATATATATATATATATATATATATGTATATATATATATATATATATATATATATATATATATATATATATATATATATATATATATATATATATATATATATATATATATATATATGTATATGTATATGCATGCACTGAAGGGTCAAATTACTGCTCTGAAAGGTCAAAAGTTTCTACTGATTTATATATATAGATTTATATATAGATTTATTTTTAAAAATATCACAATGTTTTTTATTCTTGAGATGTTTAGTAAAATTTATTTACATTTTCAGAAGGTTATTTTACAATAAAAAATATTCTGAAATAAATGTTAAAAAATAGAAGTCATGAGAAATATTAATGGACAAAAATTATGCATAATAAACCAATATATTTATTACTATTTTTTAATGATTCTTATGCACAAAGTGATATATTAATAACAAAATTTTTTATTTGGCTAACAACTACGTATACAAATACACTCCATTTGAAAATTGTCTAAGAAAATATAAAATATTAAAAAGATTTTGGAATAATGAGAACATTGTTAATACATGACCAGACAAAGGAAATGGTATAACTGTTCTTAATAAAGTTGAATATATAAATTCATTACATAATATTATAAGTAATAAGACCAAGATTAAAAAATTAAAAGAGGATGCAACTATAAAAAGAAAATTATCTTTACAAGGGTACCTTAGAGAACTTTATAAGCTTAAATGTTTTATTTAAGTTTATAAAGTTCTCTAAGATAAATTTACACTAAAATCTATTCTGTAGGATCTAAACCTGCAAGATTTTATGCATTACCTAAGATGCACAAAGTTAGTAAAGATATTTCTCTTCCAACCTTTTGACCTATTATCTCAAAAATCAGAACATAACTACAACCTTGCCAAACATTTTTTTCATTTATATTCTCCATATATACCCAAACAGTTTTGCACATTTTTTTTAGTTGAAGAATTAGAACTTAACAATAGGTTTTATCATAACCGATAGGCTTTATCATGCATTAGATAATGGTGGAGAGGTTAAGGCTATTGCTCTTGACATTTCTAAAGCGTTTGATAAAGTTTGGCATGCTGGTCTTCTCCATAAGCTTTCTTCTTACAGTGTATCTGGAAAGATCTTTAGGATTATTGAATCATTTCTTTCCAATTGTAGTATAAAAGTTGTCCTTGATGGACAGCACTCTTCTTCTTATTCTGTAACCTCAGGGGTTCCTTAAGGTTCAATCCTTGGCCCTATACTCTTTTTAATATACATTAACGATCTTCCAAATATTCTCACATCCACCTTGTGAGAATATCTTCCAGATATTCTCACAAGGTGGCATTGTTCGCTGATGATACTACCATTTATTCTTGTCACGATAAGAAGCCAACTCCCTCTGATTGTTTGCAGGGGGCATTTGAGCTTGAAAAGGATCTTAATTCTGCTACAGCATGGGGCTCACAGTGGCTGGTGAACCTTAATTCAGATAAAACTCAATTTTTTTTAGCCAATCGTTATCGCAATAATTTAGACTTTCCTATATTTATGAACGATAATGTACTCGATGAGCTATCTACCCTAGATCTAGGATTAACTCTCACTTCTGATCTTTCTTGGAAACCGTATATCAAATGCGTTGGAAAACTAGCAAAAAATCTGCTAAAGTTACATCTCTTTATCGAGCTTGACACTTTCTTACTCTGGATTCTATTCTCTATCTCTATAAATCTCAAATCCGGCCTTGTATGGAGTACTGTTGCTATATCTGGGGCGGATCTTCTAATGAGGCCCTTTCTCTTTTAGACAAGGTGCAAAAATGCATTGTAAACATAATTGGACCCGCTTTTGCAGCCAACCTTCAACCACTGTCACATCGTTGTAATGTTGCTGTCAACCACTGTCACATCGTTGTAATGTTCGTCTAGTTTTTTTTCCTCAAACATTTTTTTCCTCGAACATCAGTTCTTCGAAATTCGCTTCCTTCATCTTGCTTTCCTGATTCATATAATTTGCAATCTTTTAAGTCGTCTGTCAATTGTTATCTTGCTCTACAATCTTCATCTTTTCTCATCCAGTAACTTCCAACACTAATTAGTGGTTGCTTGCAGCCTTGTTGGAAGCGAAGATGTTAAAAAAAAAAAAAAAAAAAAAAACTAATCTAACTAATAAATTTATAGTTTCATATGAAAGTTTGTTCAGGAATATTCTACTTAGGAAACCATTAACATAGCAACTGATTTATTTTTTGAACATTTTTCAAAAATCCACTTTTAAAAATTACTTTAGATTTCCACATCCGGTTCACATTTTCTATTGACAGACAATATTACAATCAAGCAGATGGTGTTGCTATGGGTTCTCCTTTAGTGTCCATCTTAGCTAATATTTTTTTCAGATTTCATAAATAAACGTAAGTCAATAACTGCTCTTTTACAACACCATTTTTTTATAAACGGTATGTGGATGACATAATTGCTATTTTTAATTCTGAATATAAAGCTCAAAGATTTTTCAAACACCTCAATAAACAACATAAAAATTTGACTAATTTGAAAAATTTACTATAGAAAAAGAACAAGATAACCAGATTGCCTTTTTAGATGTACTTTTTAAAAAATCCAATTTGTTTTTTCGACTTCAGTTTATCACAAAAAAACATATACAGGTCTTTTACAAATTTTTATAAATTTTTATCCCTCTTGCTACAAATTTGGGCTTGTTCGTTGTTTGATTGATCATAAATTTTAAAAAAATAATACATGGGTTGGTTTTGATAAAGATATTATGAATTTATCATTAGTTTTACAAAATAATAAATTTCCACAAAAAATTATTGACTCTGAAATTAATTCCTATATTGATAAGAAAAATGAACTCATCTGTTTCTAACGTTGTTAATAGCTTAAATATAAGATACTTTAAGCCATACATTGAAATGTACTCTAATTATCATGGATATCTTTTTCCAGATATTTTTGGAATTCCGGATATTTTTCTTTATTTCTGATTTTTCTGGATATCAAAAATGTTTTCCATACATACAAGTTTAGGTATATATTTTTTTAATATATTTGTTTTTTAAGCTTTTTCACTCATTACTCACACAAAAATTAAGAAAAGTTAAAAAAATTGAAACAACTCAGCTAAAAGCAAAATTAAGAGGAATATAAGGAAAAGTATATTTCGCATTTTTTCTGGATATTTTACCCAAACAGTTTTCCGGATTTTTAAAATATGACCTGGATAATCTCTGAATTATACTAATATGAAAATTTCAAAAATTGTTCATAAATATTGAAAAAATGTTCTTATAAAATTAATATTCACTACTAATAAAATCCAAGATTGTTTTTACTTGAGTCACTTCCTAAACTGCTTAAATTTCATGTTGTCTATAAATTTTCTTGCTCTTGCTGTAATATCAGTTATATTGAAGAGTCCTCCATACATTTGGCAACTAGAATAAATGAGCACCTTAAAAGTGATAAACAATCTCATATATTTTAACACTTAAATTTATTTATTAGTTGGAAAAATCTGGCTAACTAGGATGCTTTTGAGATTTTGGATAATGCCCCAACCAAACACAAATTAAAGATAAAAGAAGCCCTCCACATTAAATGGGAAAGTCCCTCAATTAATAATCAAACTTTACATTATGTTATAAACTTATCTATTTAATTTTACTGTCAGTTTATTTTTTGTTTTTTTGTTTTAACAGTTGGTGGTTATTTACTGAGTTATTTTGTAATAAATATGTTGGTTTATTATGTATAGTTTTTATCCATTATTATTTCTCTGTAAAGACTTCTATTTTTTAATATTTATTTTTATAGTTTTTTTTTATTGTAAAATAATCTTTTAAAAAATGTAAATAAATTTTACAAAACATGTCAAGAATAAAAAACATTGTGTTATTTTTAAAAATAGTTACTTATTTTATGCTATTATGACATTCAAGATATATATATATATATATATATATATATATATATATATATATATATGTATATATATATATATATATATATATATGTATATATATATATATATATATATATATATATATATCAAGGTGTTAACCAGCCTGATGGCACCGCGTATAACGCGGTATTCCCAATTGGTTTCAAATTCCCAAAGGTTCATAAGATCATAATAAAAAAAAAAAAAAAAATCAGTCTCAAATTTTAAGCGTCGCGCTAGACAAGTAAAAAACGCAATTAGAAGCATGACCAAAAAATGAATTAAATTGATTGATTTTTTTAACGTGTAAAAACGTGCCGTCATTAACAAGTGTCCATACATTAACATGATCATTCGTTCAAAAGTTTAAAAAAACTTTTTAATTTTTATTGATGTCAGTTAATCTTGAGTTACGATTTTTTGAAGTTTAATAAATTATTTTATTAACTTATTTTTATTATTCAAAAACTCTTTATTTATGTTTTTGCTGTTTATCTTACGTTAGTAAAGTTATAAAGAAATTTGCATAATAATAAATATTATACTTTGAAATAAGTTAATAACGTTTTTGTAATAAAAGATTTATTAATACTCTCAGTAAAACAAATTAGCAGGTAAAGTAAATTGAAAATAACAACAAAAATAATCAAAAATAAAACTTGCAATGAAACGTATTATCTATATTATATTTACATAAAACGTAAAAAAAGATAATTAAATAATATTATAATATTATCAATTATTAACCAATATTTATAAATACAAACTTCTTTTTTTAATTTACAAAGACAAACTTTATGTAGATATTTAATAAATGTAATGTAAATTGAGAAAAAAAAATAATAATAATAATAATTTTGTATTTACATACATTTTTTTTATTTAAATACCTAATTTACTAGATATTTAAAATACGCCAATTAAATTTGTTGCTGCCCTCGTGCGGTGAGAGAATCTCGCTTTGCCCCCTATATAACTTTGTTACTTATTTAACTTAAAGTAGCATATTGCAACAAAAGTTCTTTTAACAAACATTATATTTGACCGAAATCGGCAAGCCAACCAAGTTTTTCAATAAAAAGTTATTAAGATTTCGAAAACTTTCATTTAATTTTCATTTAAAAGCTATTGGTTTAATAGCTTTTTAAACTGTTAAATTTATCTAATGATAAAAATTATAATATAAAATATGATGAACAATACGACATTGGTAAAAAAGTTCTTTAAGTATTTTAAAATACTAAAGTATTTAAATAGTTATATGGTCAAATATATTTCTTCAGAACTAATAGTTTAAACCTTTTAAAACTATATTAAAAAAGCAATGTACGCAATTAATCTAGATCAAAGTTTCAATGAAATTTAATAAAACATTCATTAAAACAGCAAACGATTGTCTTTAGTTCTTGTTTTTTCTCTACTTTACTGCAGCCATTTTTCAAAGCGTCTTATGTAAAAAAAAATCAATTTGACTTTTTTACCAAATAAGCTAGTTTAGATGTCTACAAACGTTTTTTAATACATATTTTTAAAGAGTTCTAAAAAAATTCATTAAAATTATTAGTTTCAAAAAGCTTTTTACATTGAGTTTCTCCAAATATTTTTTTTAATTACGTTTTTCTCGAAATGCGTAATAAGCCTATTAAGGCGTTTTGAAAAATGGCTACAGTATAACAAACAAAGGGGAGAAACGATTTAAAAATGAAAACTTTAGAAGATTGCCCATAATGAAAGAAGCTAAATAATTAGAATTAAATATTTATAAAGTTGAAAAATAATCCTGCTATAACTATAACACACAGCAAAAAAAGAACATTTATTTTGATTAAAATTTAATTACATCTAAAAAATGGAAGTATACTCACTTTTTTTTTTTTTTTAGCTGCACCTAAATTTCCAATTTCGCAAAAATGCTGTGTGAAATATTTTTCCTGGGTAACACCCTGTATATATATATATATATATATATATATATATATATATATATATATATACATACATGCATATATACACAAACACACATATATGTGTATTTCCACATAGTATAACGAACTTATTTACATAAATATACTTTTATTTTCCCAGTCTTTTTAATATTTTTATAATGCACATAAATATATAATGGATACATTTTTTATAGTTGCGAACTAAAATGATTGATTTACTTAGCAATATTTCTATCAACAATTTGAAATCTTTTAAATCAATAAGTGATGCGTTGGCCTTATCTACACAGTTTTCAATGGTTTCTCAGTCTCAGGTATCTAAATATTTAAAAACAATTTTTTATAGCTAACATCAACTATATATAATACTATGCATCTAAAGGCAATGCCTACCATGGTATTTAGAAACCTTTATAAACAATTGTTTTTGATTTTTGTTTTATAAATCCATCCCAAGTAATCTTTATTGGTTACAAATTTTACTTTTCCACACAGTATTTTTTTTTTATATATTAAAGACAATTTAATACCTAAACTTTTTTTTTGATTAATCAATATATTTTTGTTAAAATTTTTAGCCTTTATGTATTTGGCAAAAAACTCATATAAAACTTTTTATTGCTTTAGCCTTTTTATTGCATCCTGTTAAATCAATTAAGAATTTAAAAAGATTTGATTATTTAAAGTAAAATTTTTGACAAAATGAACTTTTTTTTAATATTTAATCTTAATTTAAAGACAAATTTATTGCAACATTGTTTGCAACATTATTATTGGAATATTCATGCAACAATATTATTGATAAGATTGCATTAAATTAAAACGATTAGGAAAATTATTGTCCTGATTTTTTTTGTTTACATAAATAGTAAAAGAACTTTGACATTGAAGTTAAATGATTAAAACATTGTTTTGTTGATGGTAATTTTTCATAGTGTGCTTTTGATGGTTAGTTAAACCATTTTGTTTTGTTTATTGATTAAATCATCATTCTGCATATTACTTAACCATTGTAATAAATAGCTATAAAATTTATTTAACCATTGTAATAAATAGCTTTAAAAGATCTAGCAATAAAAAACTAAAAATAATTTGTAATATTTGTTTGAAACAAGTGAAATAAATATTTTTGTCAGGAAAAACTTTTTTTATTATTATTTATACCTTTTTTTTAAAATCTGTTTTATTTAATCTGTTTATTAAATCTGTTTTTATTACTGATAAACATTGTTTTTTTCTTTTTTCATTTAAACAAAATTAAACAAAAATTTATTTTACCTTAAATAAAAGTAAAAAATTAGGAAAATAAGTTTTAAAATATTATAAAGGATCAATTAATTACAAGGTCAATTAGCAAAGCTTAATGGGGCATTGCTAGGTACTACCACAAAATCTAACTATATAATTAGTCTAGTCAAAACAGTTGAATAAAAAGTGGTGGGTTTGCAATAATTCGCATAGAGCTGAAAATTGGTATAGACATTAAACATTATTAAAAAAAAAAAAAAAAAAGTTCCCACTGATTTCACATCTGCAAAAAATGTTGTTTAAGAGAAAAGGATAACAACTTTTGTTGCATTGCTAGTGCATTTTACAATCTACAGAAAAAAAAAGTTTCTTCCGCTTTTCTCTGATCTTGGATTAGAACAAAAAATTATTGCTAAGTTTTAGGGGGTTTTATTTTTTGTTTAGCCATTCTAAAATAAATTACACTTAATTAAAATTAGGTTCTTATAATTGTGATATGTTAAAAAATAAATTTGAGAGTATTAATTTAGTATAATTTTTATTTATTAATTTTTTTAAATATAATTTTTTTATAAAGTCATTTTTATAAACCCTGTTATAAAAAATGCTTGAAGATGTTACCAGCAATATTCCAAATTCATTATATTTTTTTTTGGAGCAAGTAATTCTTAGAAATAAAAAATCTAAATTAGAACATCTAAAATTAGTGTGTACAAGTATCAGCTACAGTATTATGTCAGCTGTTAGGCCTAGATCTTTTAAGTCAAAATTGCAACTAGGTCTGTCAGTATTTCTTCATCAACAGTTTTGTTCAAAACGCTTTATACAAATCTTTTTGTCTTTTGGTTTATGCGCATCCTACAATGACACTGTGATGTATGAGGTATCATTAGTTCATCATCATTCTCCTTTTTTTACCAATCTAACCACCACAAACTGGCACATTTATTCAATATGTTGCAGTCAACACTGCATGTAAAGACTTTAGATGGTGATAACATGCTTCACATAAAGGATATTATTAAAATTATTAACCTGAAAATTTCATTTACTCAAGAAGATCAAATACCACAAGTAGATCTTGTTATTAATGATAGTTGCAGATCTTAATACTACTATTGAAATTGTCATGAATTAACATAATTTCATATAACAACATAATTTCATATAATAACATAATTTCATATAATAATATTAACATAATTTCATATAATAATATTAAAAGTGGTGACAATAATGAAATATGTGAAAATGAAAAACTAAAAGAAATTGGAAAATGAAGACCTACAACAAAACTATGGATGAAATATTTTAATATGGTATTGATTGCAAAAAAGTTTATAAGAACTGAGAGCATGGGAGATCGGTAAGCTTATTTGAACAGCATCTTCTTGTTCTATATGGAACTCCAAAAAAAATTGTTTGTATAGACAAGTATATATATATATATATATATATATATATATATATATATATATATATATATATATATATATATATATAATAACGTAACATATAATATATATACATAACATATAATATATATATAACAATAAAAGAGTGCAACTATCTTGTCTTCTTCAACATCTGCTTCTGCTTGTCAACACTTATATACAGTATACTATCAAGTTCAAGTATGGATAGGCAATCAATTGGACCCAGCAGACTGGGGTTGGAAATTGGTAGGTAATACATTCAAGCCAATTCAAACTTTACTCCCACCTTCTCTGGGAATACTTTTTAACACCATCTTTTGCAATCGTAAAAAAGGTTGTAGTGCTAAATCTAGCTTCAAAAAAGTCTAAAATAAAAAAACACTATCTGTAAACTAAAAAAAAAAAAAAAAGAATTAAACATTTATTTACATGATTTTTTCATTAAAAAATAAATTCAACAGTGTAATATTAAATGTTTATTTTTTTAAACATTAAATAAACGAAAAACATTGTTAGTATTTTTTAATTAAAAACCTTTGAGTATACTAACAACTGGTGAAAGTTAGTTTTTTTCAAAAATAGAATTAATTTTAATTCATTTTACTGTGGAACTTTTTTTCTATAGAAACAGGCAGCAAATATTATAACAAAGCTGGCTGATCTTCTTACAAATGACAATCTAAAAGTAGTTGGAGTGAACAGTTTTGAGATTATGACTCAACCATTTGTAAGTTCCATATCAAACTTATTTGAGACTAATACACCAGGCCCTTTACAAGGTAAAACTTTAGTAATTTCTTTTTATGACATATGGTTTTTATTTTAATTATGTTTAAGAAAAATAAAGTTTAAAAAATTGTAATTATAGGTGAACCTTTTCCCACATCTCAAACAACAAAATCAACATCAAATGTAGAAGTAATTAATAATTCTTATTTACTGTAATATGTTTTTGTCTTGTAAAACTGTGGTAATAATTTTATACTTTGAATTGTTATAATAAATATATTAAATATGATATTATATTGAAGATTAACAAAAATTTTTTCTCAGTAACATAAAAATTTAAATTATGTAGGGAGACTCAAATTTTGAATCAAATTTGTTAAAGTCTATGGACAAATATTTTATGGCAATTCTTTCATACAAAGTTCCTGGTGAAGGTGCAACTGTGCGTGAAACAAGTCAATTTACTGTTATACTAAAAAAAGATTTCTCAAGTAGCTTAAGTAACACTTCAATTGGTTCATCTGAAGGTGGTTTTACTCTACCAGATTCAAAAGACATGTTTAACGAGTCTATACAAAATGCACAAGTTTTAATAAGTGTAAGTTTTTATGTTTAAATTTTAACTTCAACAAAACTCAGTTATTTACTGCAAACAACTATCACAGTACTGTTGACATTCCTTTTTTTTTTTTATTACTATTCACCTCCTCAAGGCCTTGTTTAATTTTAAAAATGTAAAGTACATTTTTAAACTTAAATAAGAACTTATGTCCTCCACTTGCTATTGTAAACCAGGCTAAATAGTAAATTTAAAGCTCTAAATATGCAAAAATTGCAAAAATAATCTTATGCAAAAGTTGTAAAATAGTATAAATTTCTTTTAAGCAATGTGAAAAACAGGTCATAAAAAGTCTTATTAAGTTCATTTATATTGAGTTTTGAATTATTATCAAAACTATACATGGAACTATTAAAATTATACATAAAAATTGCCTAGTGAAAATCCTTTAATAACACAAGTTTAGTATTTATTATACTTCATGATTAATGATCTGTAATATAACAAAAAAATATTTTTTCAAAATAGCGCTTACTGCGTGCAATGTGAAATTATATAATTCCACATCTCTTGTATGGTTCAGACTTTATCACCTCACCTAAAAACAAAGCTGAATTGTTTGCTATAAGCTTTTCATCAATATCATCTCTTGATTCCACTAGTTGTGTTCTACCTGATATAGCCGCCAAACAAGTTAATCCATTGCTTGACATTCGTATCACTTCAGTTTCTGTATCTAAAGTGGTTTCCTGTTTAGACTTATCTACAGCTTGTGGCCTGGACAGCATATCTGTTATAGTCTTGCAGAAATGTTCTCTGGAGCTGTTGCCTATCCATTCAAAACTATTCAACAAGTGCTTATCCGAGTCTTGTTTTCCAGCCTGCTGGAAAGCAGCATCTGTTATCCCTATCTTTAAAAATTCTGGAGAGCGATCCGATTTGTTCAACTACCGTCCCATTAGTCTTCTTCCTATCATAAGCAGGGTTTTTGAATCTTTAATTAACAAACACTTAATCTCTCATCTTGAATCTCATAACCTATTTTCTGATCATCAATATGGATTTCGATCTTCTCGTTCTACGGCTGATTTGCTAACAGTAATAACCGGTTTTATCGCTCTTGATATTTCTAAAGCATTTGATAAAGATTGGCATGCTGGTCTTCTCCATAAGCTTTCTTCCTAGGGTTTATCTGGAAACATCTTTAAGATTATTGAATCCTTCCTTTCCAATCGTAGTATAAAGGTTGTCCTTGATGGACAGGAGTCTTCTTCTTATTCTATAACCTCAGGGGTTCCTCAAGGTTCAATCCTTGGCCCTATACTCTTTTTAATATACATTCACAATCTTCCAGATATTCTCACATCTAAGGTGGCATTGTTTGCTGATGATACTACCATTTATTCTTGTCACGATAAGAAGCCAACTCCCTCTGATTGCTTGCAGGGGGCATTTGAGCTTGAAAAGGATCTCACTTCTGCTACAGCATGGGGCTTACCCTGGCTGGTGAACCTTAATTCAGATAAAACTCAATTTTTTTCAGCCAGTCGTTATTGCAACAATTTAGACCTTCCTATGTTTATGAATGATAATGTACTCGATGAGTGATCTACCCTTCATCTTCTAGGATTAACTCTTACTTCTGATCTTTCTTGGAAACCTTGTATCAAATGGGTTGCAAAATTAGCATCTTCTAAAGTTTCATCTCTTTATCGAGCTCAACACTTTCTTACTCTGGATTCTATTCTCTATCTCTATAAATCTCAAATCCAGCCTTGTATGGAATACTGTTGTCATATCTGGGGCGCATCATCTTATGATGCCCTTTCTCTTTTAGACAAGGTCCAAAAATGCATTGTAATCATAGTTGGACCTGCTCTTGCAGCCAACCTTCAACCTCTGTCACATCGTCATAAGATAACGAGCAAGATAACGATTGACAGACGACTTAAAAAATTTCAAATTATATGAATCAGGATATATATATATATATATATATATATATATATATATATATATATATATATATATATATATATATATATATATATATATATATATATATATATATATATATATATATATAAACATATATATATATATGTATATACACACACAGTATCAGACAAAACAAGTGCAACCAAATAATGCTAATTTAGTTTCTTTAAATAAAAGTGCTGCATTTTTTCAATTTAGAGAAATTACTATGTAACAGTTTAGAAACAACGTTCTTCAAGTTTTATTAATCACAAAGTTCATTATATGTACACGAAAATACTTAAATTAATCAAAAGTATTTAAAAAGTTGATTTTCTTCTGGACAAAACAAGTGCAACTCCACAAAATGTTGACCAAGCTGTATTTCGCTATCAATATTCAGTGGCGAATCCTTTGTTGTCAATCACAGCCTTGCATATTCGAGGCATAGATTCGATCAGGTGATCAATGAAACTTTGTGGAATCACTGCCCAGGCCTTTTGGATTTGTTGAAACAGTTGATCCTTATTACGAACACCTTCATAATTAATTCTGCGGTTGACGATCTCCCACAGGTTCTTGGTAGGGTTGAGATCCGGAGATTGAGGTGGTCAATCCATCACCAATAGGTGGTTGTGTTGAAACCACTGCTTGACTACTTATGCAGTGTATTTTAGATTGTTGTCTTGCTGAAAAACCCATTTTATTGGCATATTGCATTCAGCATGAGATAACATAACATCTTTCAGAATATTTTTATGCATAAAACGATCCATTATTCCATTGTTTCGATGTACTGGACCTAGACCGTTAGCAGAAAAACACCCTCAGACCATTACATTGTCTCCACCATGCTTCACGCTCTTATGGCAGTTACATAAATCAAGGCGTTTTCGGGCCGGTCGACGTACATGGCAAATGCCATCGCTCCCAATGATGTTGAACTTAGATTCATCACTGAACAGGACAGTTCGCCATTTCTGCACATTCCAGTCAATATGAGATTTAGCAAACAGGAGTCTTTTCTTCTGCTTCTTTAGTGAAATCAGCGGTTTCATTGAAGGGCTTCAAGAAAACAATCCGGCTTCAACAGCGCGTTGTCTGATTGTTTGGTCTGATACAGGCAGCTCTAATTGCTTTTGTATCTCGACTAATGATATCTAGGGATCTTTCTTAATGGATCTGACAATCATAAAATCCTCTCTAGAAGTGGTGGAAAGTGGTCTTCCACCTTTGTTATCTGCTACCAACTTTCCCGTAGAACGATATTTGGAGCATAGTTTTGATGCAGTCCATTTTTTCACGTGATATTTATCACAAATACTTTTTTGTGATATTCCACTTACGTGGAATATCACAAAAAAGTGATATTTTTTTGTGATATATATCGCCAATAATTTTTTTTCTTAGTTCTAATCCAAGACTGTCGGGAATTTTGCACTTGAAATCATAAAAATAATAAAAATAAATAATCATGCTTCTCAAGGCTTACCGTGTTACATTTACCTTGTGATGATACAATAATGCTCTGTGGAACACAACGTCTTGGTTGGATGTGGGCTGTATTAATGTAATGAAGCACTTGTTATATTTCACTTCTTGTATTGATGTTCTTCGATAAAACACTTTGATAAAACTCACTTTGATAAACTGTCTTGATAATACTGATTGATTAACTTCCATATACTGACTGAATTACATGTCGGTTTACATGTCTTTTATATAGTAAAATGAACCTGTGTAAACCTGTTCTGGAAGATTCTAGATGCTTTTTTTCAATGCTTCTGGATGCTTCTGGATGCGTCTGAATGCTTCTGAATGTTTCTGGATACTTCTGAATGCTTCTGGATGTTTCTAGATGCTTCCTCTGGAAACTTCTGGAAACTTCTGCATGCTTCTAGAAACTTCTGGAAACTTCTGGTTACTTCCTTTAATTATTAAAAAACTTCCGTGACGTTGACAGGGACCGGACTTAAGAAAATGAAACAAACCAAAAAAGTTGCGCTTGTTTTGTCCTCTGCAAAATGGCACTTGTCAACGAAATTCTGCCTGTGTGCTGTCACCTGTCAGCTAATTGCTCATGTGTGGCATGCTATGACTCCTAAACTGTTTGCTGTGGTAGTATAGTTTGTTTAGTTTTTAAGACATGTAAAATTAGGAAGACTTTTTAGCATTGTTCAATGTTGGTTGCAAATGTTTTGTCCAATACTGTATGTATATATATATATATATATATATATATATATATATATATATATATATATATATATATATATATATATATATATATATATATATATATATATATATACACACACACACACACAGATTGTTTTAGATAAACTAACATTTTTTCTTTCATTGTTTTACTATTTTGTTAATTTTTTAAATTTAGAATGTCAGAATGAAAGTTATGGCTTACACAGGGGATTCTAATCGATCACAAAACATTCTTTCTGAATGCCAAAGTCTTTCTATTTCTGGTCTTGATGGTAGTTCTATAAAAGTGAGTAACAGTTCACAACCAATCAGTATAGCTATTAAAAATTTTCCTGAAAAAATGAACGGAAAAAATATATCATTATCAATGCCTAATGATTTATATCAGGTGAAGCTTCCGTTGGCATCAGATTGTAACATGCTTCTGAAGTTTTTATTTTTAAATGATCAAAATAATTTAACAAATCTTGTTGTTTACATTCAATATGGAAAAGTTGCAACGAAACTTGATTACGATATTAAACTGAATATTTCTGCTAAACATGGTGTTGCAATCACAAAAAATGATGCACTTGCAAACATATCTTTCGAAGTTTCCAATGCAACTGCTACTGATGCTACAAACAGTAGTCACAATTTTTCTGAACTTTTACAAAGAAATCAAGATGCTCGTTTACTTGATGATGGTGCACTAATTTTATGGAACTTTTTAAATTCGACATATGCTTTTTTAAATAGAAGCGAGTTGCATTTATCATTTTCCTATGTTGGACCAATGCCTGATAAAAAATTAGATGCCAATCCATATACATTTGATGAAGCAGAGTATTATGGGACATTTGACTATGAAATGAAATCATTTTGTGCTGAATGTAATTACTGGAATGAAAATGCTAATCGATGGATGTCAGATGGATGTCAGGTAGGTTCTTATTGTTTGTCAAACTTCATTTACTTTTTAAATATGTGTTAAAATTACTAAATTTAACATTGATCTAGAATCATTTACAGAAAATATACAGTTAGGTGTTTAAAAAATACAGTAATACTTATGATTTATAAGCTAAAAAATCTATTTTTTAATGGAATAAACAAATAGCTTTTCATTTAACAGATTTGAGTAGTTATTTTACTTTTCATTAAATTATAAGAGAAATATTTTAACTTTAATTGTTATATATAATGCTACCAAGTAGTCTATAAAATTTAGTATTATATAATAAATAACCTGTCTGTTAATTCATTTTTATTTTTCAAGTTTTATTTCTTTTCAATCAGTGTAGATTATTTCTATGGTCTATATTTCATTTGCTGTAAAATTTGCTTACATTCAACTATATCATGGTTATCTAAACTGCAGACCTTGTCAATGTGCAAAAGATGTATCTAATTAGCAGCTTATTTTAAATTATGCTTAACTACAGTTTCCATTTTAGTGATAGTAAAATGTGTGTAAAAAGTGTTGTATTTATTACTTTCCCTCGCATTATTTACTTTTAAAAAGAATAATTCGACGCTCTCAGTATATTTCCTAATTGAAGGAAAAAAATAAACGTTGATTAAAGTAATTCCAAACGCAAGCTTAAATTTAACTAATTAATCTGTAGTTTGTGATTTGCATTAGCTGATAAGTTTTAAAAGACAAAAGGTTGGAGGAAAATACTGTTCTAAATTTCCGCTATCTGTTGGCCAGGCATACTATCTTGTCAAATTCTAACACATCTTCATTTATTGTGTTTAATAATTTGTGCTTCTTTATGTTTTCAAAATTTTGCTCAAGATGAATTTTTAACTTTTTTTTAATAAAATAAATTTTTTGAAATATTTGATTCTTGACAGTTTGGGAAAAAAATATTGTAGTTCAGGAATATTTAACTTAAATTATCTACTGATGTTTTTATAAGCAAATTCCATTTGCTTAAAAACATTAGAAATAGTTAGCTTACTGAAATAGTTAGTTAGAAATAGTTAGTTAGAAATAGTTAGCTTACTGAAATAACTGTTCAATTTGTATTTATGATAAAGGAAAATGTAAGTAGCACAGTGGGATCATCTTAAAAGACTTTAAAACTGAAGCCCAAAATTGACTTTAATTATAAAGTTTAAATGAGGTTTCAATATTTCCAATACAATTTGAGTTAGTCAATTTCTACCTGATTAAAGGTATTTTGCAAGAAAACATTTACTGGTAAATCATCTTAAACTGCAGCCTGTAAAAAAAATATATCAAGTTTTATTAACATTGTTGTAAAATGGTAGAAAGTTCTCTATAATAAGGGACAGGTATTTGATTCAATGCTGAACTTCAAGCAGTATTTAGGAATCCTAATGATGATAAGTTAGAAAATATGAAATGTTTAGAAATGTGGCTTTAAAGATAGCTGGAAAGCAAAGTAAAAAGTAGAAACAACTTACTAGTAACACAACACGTCCAATTTACCATGCGTGGAATGGTGTTGTTGGATTATGTAGATCGTTATTGGATAACTCACATATGTCACTCTCAGAGAGTTTTCTAATAATCCATTTGAAAAAGGATTTAGTGAATTGCAGCAAGATTTAGAAGGTATGTATTTTATAACAGTGCAATAGGTGATTGAAAAGCTGAATATTTCAAAAACTAAGATTTTGCTATACTTGATAACTCAGCTGTTGAGATGATTCTTGATACAATATTTTTATACAATACACATTTTTTTCCAAACTGCGGTTTTCTATTGGATGAACCCTCTGCTGAAAATAGTTAAAAATCTATCAGAATCTATTGTTTCATACAAATATGGCATTTATGTACATATATTTACATGATATATATATACAGCTTATATAACTCATAAAGATAACAAACTATCAGAAAATGAGCTAGTTTAAGAAATTTTTTGCCATCAAAAGGTTGGAAAATACCCAGACTCTGTTAACCCTGGTAGACTTTTCCCATAGATCAATACCTGTCAGTGGGTAATTTTTTCTTTTATAACTTTTAAATTGATTACAGACCAAGTATGACGAAGTATCATTAAACAATATTTTAAGGTTTCAGAGTTTTACAACTTGCAGATGTAGGGCATGATAATAGAAGTAGAGGCTTGTCAACCTCTGTTGCTAGTTTAACACATACTCTTTTTCTTCTTTCTGTTTTCTGCTCCTCTCCTGTACTTGAAGTGAGAAATAGAATACTAAGTTGCTCTCTCTGTCCATTTATCCTGATTAATACAGAAAGTCTGTGATGTTGCAATTCTTTTCTATCTGTGAATTCTTTAACAATCTTGCTATCAAAGTGTAGAATTATAGGGAATTCTTATGATTTCACAAGAGTAGAAATTTTTTATCTTCACTCCTTCTTTGAGCAAAACCTCTTCAACAGCTCTAAATGATGTTACACTAGACACTACAAAATCTTTCACAGAACCTCCAGAGTTTGCATTAACACTTTACGCAATTGTTGTGTGCTATTGAGCAAACAGTCCCTCTCCTATAGCAGTAAGAGCTGTTTTCTTTTGAATGTTTTTTGGAAAGATAACTGATGAGCTAGATTCTTCTTTGTCTAGATCTGCTACAAAGTCTGAGTCAGAATTATCATCACAACTACTCGCAGAGCTGTGTGAAATGTTAAGAACATTTGTAGTGTCTCCTGCATTTTTCCTGATAAGTAAATGTTTTTTCTGTGATCTTTCAACAGTATCTGAGAAATTTTACTCCTTTGTTCTAATTATTTCTCTTCTAAATTTTCTCATTCTCCCAGCTGATCCAAGATAAATATGATGATTTCCTCTTCAGCTACAGAAGTTCCTCTTTTTTTCTTTCCTGATCTTCCCAATCATTTCTTTAGGATTTCTACCAGTCAAATGTACATCAGAAGACCCCAAAGAAAATCTCTCAGCTTAGTATATGATGGACCATTCCTGTGACAACTTATTAAAATGTTATAATAATCCAATGTGCTCTGAATCTTTGCTCTATATATTGTAAATAAAGCATTGAAGTGAATTCCCAATTTTAGAAAATATTAACACAAATAATTTTAATAATTACTTAACAATGTGAAAAATGAAAAAAAAAACATAACATAAGTAAAATAACAAAAATGCTTCTACTGTGTAAATATATTATAGCTAAGTTGAATTAAATGTTATAAGTGTAGTATTTTTTTAAAACAAAAACAAAGAATTTAAAAGATTCACCTTATATTGTCCAATGTTATTAGAGGAAATCTCGCTAGATTCCATAGCACAACCAATTTTCACACCACTGTGGGTGTTCTAGTATAAAATAAATTTAGATATTTACTAAAAATATAGATATAATAATATTGACAAATGTCAGATATTAAAGATAGACAACATTAAATGGCGACATTAAAGAGGGAGAAACATAACTCAATTTTTTAGACAATTTAAACATTAAAATCTTACCCTAAACACAAGAGTTATGAAAAAAGTTTATAGCTTATAGAATAGTGATAAAAGGTAAAAACCAACACTTTCAGAAAATCTAATTGTTTGATTGACATTATTTAAACAAGTTCCCCCTCATTTTGCTTAAAAAAGCTCAAAAATGGCCTAAATATGAACTTTGGGCTTATTCCAGGACTGATAGAGTGGTCCAAATGTGATAAAAAAAATTGTGTTTAATATTATAATTTGTATATATATATATATATATATATATACTAGGTTGGTTGAAAAGTTCGCGGAGCGGCACCTATGTTGCAGTAGTAGAAACAAATTTATAACTGTATTAAACGTATTCATTCTTCGTATGAACGCATAAAAAATTTCAAGTCGATATGTCATTTCAGTCTTTGTTTACAAGCTATTGAAATTAGACGTGTCATAGTATTTTTTAAAATGGAAATTATTGAACATCGTGCTGTAATTAAATTCTTTGTGAAAAAAGGTTTAAAGCCCATGGAAATTCATAATGAAATGGTAAATGTGTTGGGTGATGATGCTCCTTCAAAAACAACAGTATGCAAATGGGCTGCGGAGTTTCAACGTGGGCGTTCAAGCCTTGAAGATGACCCTCGCTCTGGACGTCCAAAAAGTGCTAATACTGAAGAAACGATTAATGCTGTGCATGACATGGTTATGGATGATAGACGATTGACCAAACGTGAAATTGCTGAGGCTGTGGGCATCTCAGATGAACGGGTATTACACATCTTGCACGATGAATTACGTCTGAGAAAGCTGTTGGCAAGATGGGTGCCGCATTCGCTAACTCTGGATCAGAAACGCACTCGAGTAAAACTTTCTCAAGAACATTTGGCCCGTTTTCAAAAGAATAAAACAGATTTTGTGCGTCGATTCGTAACCATGGATGAGACTTGGGTTTACCACTATGATCCGAAGCTGCGACAACAAACTGCAGAGTGGACAGAACCCGGTTGTTCAGCTCCGAAGCAAGTGAAGGCGTCAAAATCGTCAAAGAAGGTTATGGCATCAGTTTTTTGGGATGCGAAAGGAATTTTATTAATAGATTACCTTCAAACCGGTAAAACGATAACAGGTGAATATTATAAAAATCTTTTGGACCAGTTGGATAAAAAAATTCGTGAGAAAAGACCTGGTTTGCTGCATAAAAAAATCATTTATCACCAGGACAACGCACCTGCTCATATCAGCGATGTTGCAAAGGCGAAATTGGTCGAATTAAAGTACGAACGCTTGGAACATCCACCCTATTCACCAGATCTGGCTCCGTCCGACTTCCACCTCTTTCCACATCTCAAAAAATTTCTACGTGGAAAGCGTTTCTCATCACATGAAGAAGTCATTGCAGACGTAAATGGGTATTTTGAAGGCCTTCCGGAATCGCACTTCAGAGATGGGATACATGAATTGGAGAATCGTTGGAAAAAGTGTATTGCTCTTAAGGGAGAATATACTGAAGAATAAAGTCATTTTTTGAATCATAAAATTGTTTTTTCATTTCCGCTCCACGAACTTTTCAACCAACCTAGTATATATATATATATATATATATATATATATATATATATATATATATATATATATATATATATATATATATATATATATATATATATATATATATATATATATATATATATATATATATATATATATATATATATATATATATATATAATGCATGTTTTTCAAATTTTGCTTGTAATAAAAAATAATAATATAATTGTTTGCATTCTTTGTTTTGAATTTTTAGTATGATGTTGAAACTTCAACGCTTTTGCTAACTAAATGTAAATGCAACCATTTAACAGCTTTTGGTGGGTTTTTTGTGGCTCCTAATCCTATACCAACACCTTCATTAGGAATGTTAAAAAGTGGTTATGTTCTTCTTGTTACAGTTGGAGTTATTATTTTACTTTGGATAATTGGATTAATACTTGCCAGGAAAATGGATAAAAAAGATATTTCCAAGGTTTATGTTTTTATTCAAGTTAATTTAGAATTATTTACTGAATATTTTTTTGCATTTTGAGCGTATAAACATTATAAGCATAGAAGCCATTGATTTTTAAACTTTGTGTCTTCATTTTATCATTTAAAAATAACATCATATTAAAGCCATATCCATTGTAAAGTTAACACCTGATAAGGTTGTCTCTCTTTATTGTTTTTGTCATATTCTTACTCTAGATCCCATTCTCTACCTCTATAAATCTCTTAAATAAATCTCTTTGTCCTTGCATGATATACTGTTGTCATTTTTAGGCTATTTCTTCGAATGAGACTCTCTAATATAGGCAAGGTAAAAAAAATTCTTTCCTGTCTTCATATTTTTTTAACAGTTTTAAAGTCTTATGCTTTCTTGCTCTATAGCTTTTTTCTTTTTTTTCTGTTTGTTTGTTTTCTGTATTCCAACTTAAATAATGGTTGCTTGCACCTTTGTTAGGAGTAACTTTTTTTAAATATAAAATAGATTTAAAAAATTTTTACTGCTAAGATCAAAGAATCCGAAATAGCTAGAAAAAACAGCTAGAAAAAGTGACACTGTTATGAGCATTTTACATAGATCAGACATTTTCAAATCTATATGTTGGTAGACTAGTTCTGCAACTAGAAATATGTCCATTTATAAAAAAGAATAAAAATAATTTTAGCAGAATGAGTAGCTTAACCTTTTAAGTAAAAAATTACGCATTTGCTGTTACATGTAATATTTGCTGTTACATGCAATATTTTCTGTTACATCTAATATAACTTTTTATTTTCCAAATAATGCCAAAAAAAAAGTTTCATGTAATATTGCATTTACTTTTCAAAATAGTACCAAAAAAAAAGTTACATGTAATATTGTATATTATTTTTCAAATAGTAAAAAAAAAAAGTTACATGTAATATTGTATTTTATCTTCCAAAGAGTTCCAAAAAAAAATTACATAACATAGCTTTTTATTTTCCAAATAGAGTGCCATAAGATCTTCTAAACATAAATACATCTTTAAGAATTAAGAACTAAAGTTCTTCTAACAAAAATTTATATTTGTAAATTTAAATATAATTTTATATTTGAAAATTTAAATTTAATATAAATTGTTTTTAAATATAAATATAAAAGTTTATATTTGTAAATTTAAAAACAATTTATATAAATTTATTATTCTGTTTATGTTTAAGACAAATAAAACATGAATGATATGTTTCATTGCAATGTATCATTTTTGAGTTTTTGATGTTATTTTAGCTTAATAAAAAACGATTTTAGGCATCTTATAACCATACAAATTAACCATAACCTTATAACCATACAAACTAACCATAATCTTATAACCATACAAGTTAACCATAACCTTATAATCATACGATTTATCTGACTAGTAAATGCTAAATGCAAATTAAATTCTTTAATTTTTTTTAAAATTGCTCAAATTTATTTAATTAATCCATTAATTTTAATAAAACTTAGTTCTAGTGTCAGTGACTCTGCAGGCTTTAAGGCCCACAACATTTGCCTTTCTCAATCTCTAACTCAAATAGTCAACTTTCCAACTCGCTTTTAAGACAATCGAAATCATTTACCTTCTCTACTTGACTTACGTCTTGTGTCTGATCCTTGTCAGTGCTCAGTTTCTCCATATTCACCCTTAGGTGCTTCTGATAACAGTTTGATCTCTGTAAAACTATTATCTCATTCTTTTTCATTATCAGAATCCCCTTATCATTGTACCTCTTATAACTACCTTAAACCTGACTGAGACTCTTTCTGTAATTTTATTCCTGATGGGTAGAAATCTTTTGTCTTCCTGGTAACAAATGTGCTTCTTACATAACTTCTTAAATTCAGGCTGGCATGGAATCTTTTATTCCCTCTCGACAATTCCAAGTTAAGCCTCACTTTTCTCCATGGTTTACCATTTGCAGCTGCAATTTCCTATCAAAACCATTTCTTCTATATTTATCAGCAAAACAATCCGCAAATTCAAGAAAACAGACGTCTGTTTACTATTGCTAGAAACCATTGTAAAAAAGTTTTGTCTGACGCTAAAGCCTGCTATTCTCAGGTCATGAAATCTCATGTTTCATCTCTAAAATTAGGCTCTTTTGACTTCATATCCTGTCATTTCAGAGATTTCTCAAGGTTCTATCCTTGGCCCTATACTCTTTTTAATTTACATTAATGATCTTCCAAATATTCTCACATCCAAGGTGGCATTATTCATTGATGATAATACCATTTATTCTTGTCTTGATAAGAAGCCAACAATCTCTGATTGCTTGGAGGTGGAACTGGAGCTTCAAGAGGATTACACTTCTGCAAAGGTATGGAGCTCACAGTGGCTGATGAACTTTAATTCAGATAAAACTTAATTTTTTTCACTTAATTGTTATCGCAATAATCTAGATCTTCCTATATTTATGAACAATAATGTACTCGATGAATCATCTACCCTTCATCTTCTAGGATTAACTTCTACTTCCAATCTTCCTCAGAAACCATATATGAAATTGATTGCAAAATTAGTATCTGCTAAGATTGCATCTCTTTATTGTGCTTGCCACTTCCTTACTCCGGATTCTATTTTTTATCTCTATTAATCTCAAACCATATCTTACCATATCTGTGGTGAATCTTAAGACCCTTGAACCTAAAACAAGTTCTTAATAGTATCAAAATAAAAATCATGTCGGGTCTCAAATGAAGCAAAGTTAAATGAAAATTTTAAAAATGATAGTTATATTATAAAAAACTTATTGTTCTTGTAAAAATATACTGTTAAAAAATTGGTAAAATTGCACTTTTTTTTTTTCAAGGTAATAAACTTCGTTTTTTATACTGTTAAATCTAACATTGATTTTTATATAATATAGTTAACATTTTTGAATATTTCAAATAATTTTTCTTCATTTGAGACCCAGTATGATAATACTTAAAGAATGTTTTTGTTGATAATATTAGGAACTGATTAAATTTTAGTGTCTTGAACTAAAAATATTTTTTATTCAAAAAATTTTAAAATCTTTTTTTATCATATAAAACACATTAAGGGGTGGCAGTACATATTTTTTAAAAAATATTGTTTTTTGGGGCACCAAAATGTATATATATATATATATATATATATATATATATATATATATATATATATATATATATATATATATATATATATATATATATATATATATATATATATATATATATATATATACATATATATATATATATATATATATATATATATATATATATATATATATATATATATATATATATATATATATATATATATATATATATATATATATATATATAGTGTCTCAAAAAATTATCCGACCAAACAAGTTTTTCACAAAAAAAAAAAAATGTTTATGCTCTAAATTATACTAAAAACTAAATTATAAAAAAAATGAATAGCGATAATTTGTCTGCCATTTTAATTCTATTGGGAATAGTATGTTATTTAGCGTTCAAATTTTTTGATTCATGCTTCAGTTGGTTTAATATTTTTCCTAAAAGAAACTTAGTATTAAATAGGCTTGTAAAAAAATTATCCAACCAAGCAATATTTAGTTAAGTTTAATTAACTTTATGTGAAATTTGTTGAAATATTTTAGCAAATTTTTATACAATTAATGAAATTGCATAACAAAAAACTGTTTTTTTTTTGTAGTAAAAAAAAAAGTTTCGTATAAAAAAAAGGTTTCATATTTTTTTAAGTAAAATGGTTGGAGGTAAACGTCACTAGACTGTTTCTCAGAGAAATTTTTCGATCTAGTCAATCAGGGTAAAACCTATTGTCAGTTGCAACAAGAGACTGGAATTCCTCATAATACAGTATCTGACATGATGAAGAAGTATAATTTGATTGGAAAAACAGCCACAAAAGAAGGACAGGGTCGCAAAAAAAAGACTTTTAAGAGTTTTGATAGAAACTTAATTATACAAGTCAAGAAAAATCGTTTCATTTCTGCTCAAAAACTGAGCAAACTGAAGAGAATTATGGAATTAAATTATCCCATCAGAAAATCAGAAATCGTATCCAAGACCAGGGACTTTAAGGACGACTTGTGCGTAATAAACCATATTTGAGTAAGAAACACATAAGAAAAGAAGATTGGAGTTTGCTAAGAAGTTCAAAAACATGCCGTTAAGTTTCTGGAAAAAGATCCTGTGGAGCGACGAATCAAAATTCAACTTAAAGTTATCTGATGGAGCCCAAAAAGTTTGGAGAAAAGCCGGGGAAGCCTACAAATTAAGCTGCATGAGAGGAACTGTCAAGTATGGTGGTGGTAATGTGATGGTATGGGGTTCAATGGCTTAAAAGGGTGTTAAAAAACTTCAATTTATTGATACTATAATGGATAAGGTGCAATACAGACACATTTTAAAGCAAAATTTGAAGTCATCTGCTCGAAAACTTTGGCTAGGATCTGATTTTACATTTTAGCAAGATAACGATCCCAACCATAGTGCCACTAAAACCAAGGAGTGGTTTGCTGAAAATAATGTTAAGGTCTTGTAATGGCCCACACAATCACCAGACCTTAATCCCATTTGTGGGAAGTTTTAGACTGAAAAATTGGAGATCAATCATTTTCAAAAAAGATAACCTCAAAGTGGCAATTAAAGAAGCCTGGGACCAGAAGAAACAAAATCTTTAGTCTAATCAATGCCTAGACGTCTAGAAGCTGTAATCCAACCAAAGGGAGGCCCTACATACTATAGTATTAAAATAATTGTTTTGTTATTTAATAAATTATTACGGAACAAAAAATATGTTTGGTCGAATATTTTTTTGACAATAAAAAAACGACTTAAGTTCCTTTATTTTAAGACTGAAAATTTTGTGATTCATATTTTACACTAAAATAAATAAAATCTATTTTTATTTATCTTGAGTTTACCAAAAAAGTCGAAATTTACAAAAATACAGCACTTTTTTTAAAAAATGTTTGGTCGGATAATTTTTTGAAACACTGTTTATATATATATATACATATATATATATATATATATATATATATATATACATATATATATATATATATATATATATATATATATATATATATATATATATATATATATATATATATATATATATATATATATGTATATATATATATATATATATATATATATATATATATGTATATATATATATACATTTATATATATATATATATATATTTTGTCATAATTATGCATAAATATTTAGATAACATGTCTAATGTCACACTGAAATGGATTGCTGCAAAGTGTTTCATTGCATACATCAACTATTTTATAGCCTGCTGCTGCAAAGGAGTGCTGCTACATCAACTGAGAGCCTGGGATAGACAGCAATCTCTTTTCTTTTATTACTTTTTTTTTTTTTTTCCCTTCTTTTTCTGAAAAAGTTTTATGCCACAAAGATGAGCAAAACTAGATAGCAATTGCTGGTCTGTATACGTTGAAGTAAATATATGTATATATATACATTTTATATTAAAGATAATATTGTAACTTTTGTAGTTAACATTTCATAGATTGGTGTTTGTCCACTTCTTGATAATCAGGATGGTGATACTTATCTATATCAAATAATTGTAAATACTGGTAGTCGAAGAGATGCTGGAACCAAATCAAATATTTTTTTTACTGTTGCTGGTAAGATATAGTATACTTATATATATATATATATATATATATATATATATATATATATATATATATATATATATATATATATATATATATATATATATATATATATATATATATATATATGTATATATATATATGTATATATATATATATATATATATATATATATATATATATTATATATATATATATATATATATGTATATATATATATATATATATATACATATATATATATATATATATATATATATATATATATATATATATATATATATGTATATATATATATATATATATATATATAAATTATGTTAGTGTATTCTACAAATAGTACTTACTATTCAATTCAATACTCTTAAAGAACAAAGCAATTATAAATACAGAAGGAGAAACAGCCTGTTGAAGAAAAAGTTAATTAACTGTTATTAATAATTTAATTTATAATATATATATATATATATGTATATATATATATATATATATATATATATATATATATATATATATATATATATATATATATATATATATATATATATATATATATATATATATATATATATATATATATATATATATATATATATATATATATATATATATATATATAAATGTATATATATATATATATGTATATATATATATATTATAAATTAAATTATTAATAACAGTTAATTAACTTTTTCTTTAACAGGCTGTTTCTCCTTGTATTTATAATTGCTTTGTTCTTTAAGAGTATTGAATTGAATAGTAAGTACTATTTGTAGAATACACTAACATAATTTATATATATATGTATATATATATATATATATATATATATATATATATATATATATATATATATATATATATATATATATATATATATATATATATATATATATATATATATATATATATATATATATATATATATATATATATAATGTTTATCAATCAGTTAACAAATAGTAGTAAAAAAATTAGGTCAGGTTACTTTCATATAAACTTCAGCTTTGTATAAAAATTTTTTAAACACAGAACGCCTTTTATATAATCTTCATCTGTGTATAAATTTTAAGTATAAATTTAACTTAAAATAAACAAATAAACAAATAATTCTTTTTTTAATGACGCGTAGTCACTTTTATATTGTTTTCATACAATATTTTTGTTAAAAAATAACAGGTGATTTAAATGACAGTGGAATTAGGCGTTTAAAAGATTCAGAAAGAGATTGCTTTCAACGATCAAGCTGTGATGTATTTATAATGACTACACCAAGTTCTCTTGGTGATCTTGATTATATTAGGTTGTGGCATGATAATAGTGGTGGAGGTTGGTACCTCAGGTAAGTGCATTGTATTGTTTTTCATACTTAGAGATTTTTAAGCATAGGTATAAAGTTTACAAAAATGAGTTTTAAGTTATGAGTATGTTTAAAATTTTGCAATAATTTTTTTTAATTTGTCTTTTGTCTATCTGTTTTTTTTTAATTAATCCATAAATTTTATTAATATTATTTATATTATTATTATAAATATCAATACACAATATAAAATTTAACAAAAAGTAGTACTCCTGTCAATATGATTAATGTTTATTAATATACAAAACATATTTATAAAAAATATGTTTTTCAAATAAATTTTTTGTGTTTTTTGTTTGTTTTTTTATGTTATTTTTATTATTATTATTATTATTTCAATTATTTTTAAAAATTCTGAAGATGTTTGTTGTTTTACTTGTACCATTCTGTGAATTTTACCTATGACCATCACTGTTATGTTACTTATATTACCACTATATGCTCTGCTTCATTCACTTTCATTATCATCATTATCTTTACAATTATCTTATGTACTTAAACTAAGAATAATTTTTATCTATGCTGTAACCATTCGTAGTACTCACAACTAAACAATTAACAAGTTATTTTAAATCAAATACCCCTGTTGACAGTTGAAAACTATTTTATATTACTGAAAATAAAATATTTCTTATGCTATATGATGTATAGATTTTGATGATTTTTTTTTCAAATTTGGTTTACTGTACAAGTTATTTAAGTTATATATTATTTTAATATTTCTAATTGTTCTTTTATTATATTATTTTATCTTAATTTTGTTTTTAACATTAGAAACATTGTTATTATTGACCTTCAAACTGAAAAGAAATTTTTTTTTATTGGTCATTGTTGGGTTGCAGTTGATCGGGGCTCATGTATGTTAGAATGCCTTTTACCAGTAGCATCAGATTTAGAAACTTCTAATTTTAACTACATTTTTATAACCAAAGCAAGTAATGATCTTTCGGATAATCACTTATGGTTTTCAATATTTGCCCGCCCACCCAAAAGTAACTTTACTAGATGCCAAAGATTGTCTGTTGCTGTTTCTTTGTTAATGACTTCTATGGTGGCAAGCACAATGTTCTATGGACAAATTCCACCAGCAAATCCAGCAACTGAAAATAAAGTTGGCAGTTTTTCATTCACTTGGGCACAGGTTTGTAAAAAAAAGTTAAACATGATTGGTTTATATTTTAAATATTCTTGTTTAAAAGTTTTATTAGTTAATAATAATAATAAAAAAAAGACCAGCTGGGCATGGACAGCAACTATATATTAGGGCAGTTTGAAAATATAAAGTTTAAAACCAACCCTCCATAAAACTTTCTTCATTTCATTGTTGTTGGTGTTTCTATAGGTCTAGACCAAATCTATTGTAAATATAGATTAATAGCAGCTAATGATAAGGTAAAAAAATTGTTGCAACTTTTCTGATGGCCAAAAAAATAGCAAAAATTAATTTTTCTGAGTTTTAATTGTAAAAGAAGAATCATTGTGTTGAATAAATGCTTTTACTTTTAAATTTTTGTAAAAATAAAAAGATTCAAACACATGTTATCATCTTCTTTTTTTTTTTTTTTTTAATGCATGCTCACCTCCAAATTGCCAGGACACTACAATAAAAAAATAAAAAATTTTAATATTTTTATTTTGTACTCTCATGCACACACATTATGTGAAAAAAAAGATAAATGACTTCAGAATAGTTACTTAAGCACCAACTTTTTCATTTTAATTTATTTGAATCAAAATGGAAAAGTTAAGTTTGAATAAGTTTCTAACAAAAAAGAAATTTTAAAAACTTGAGAAAAATTGGTGCTTAAGTAACTATTCTGAATTCATTAATATTTTTTTCACATATGTGCATGAAAGTACAAAATGAAAATATTAAAAAAATAGGTACTTTTTTTAATTTAGTGGCTCGTGTCCTGCCTATTTGGAGGTGAGCATACATTAAAAAAACTCTCAATTAAAAACCTTTTGTTCCAATAAATATGCTAAATACAGCTAGTGTCATTTAAAAGTTATCAAAAAAATAAACTTAAAAAAATACCTTGAATTAGTTAACTTTTTAATAACTTTTAAATGGCATTTTAATCTTTGCGTAGCTTTTGAATTTTTAGACAAATTTTAAATATTAAATGGATAAAGCATGAGTTAAGTTAT